TGCCACGTGGCAGACTGCTTATGTAAGCAGATGTGGTACAAACCAGCGACCAGAAGTGGCCGTCCAACAAAACAAAAATTAGCATCTGTGGTTTAGTGGTAAAATTAACGCTTGCCATAAGATCTCTGACTGGTTTATCCTTCAGATGACCCTAGCAAACTGTGTTAGCCCCGGGTTCGATTCCCGGCAGATGCAATTGTTTTACGCAGTAGCCGTATTTCATAGCCTTTGGGACTGACAAGGATTCTAAATTGGTTGGCGTCCGAATCCAGTGTCATGGGCCGTCGGCTACTTTTGGTCGCGCGCGTTTACTGCATCCATTCATTTACGTGGGTACCAACGGGTCGGTGATTGCTGTAAAGATGTACAAGGCTGCGCTGATGAAGCATCTGCAAGGAGATATCAGGCAACAAGCAACCCTTGCGAAGCACATTCCGATCACGTGAAGGCCGCCTACCACGTCGCTATCCGGCCTGCGGAAGTGGCGCTTCCAAGTCAAGGAGGGCGTCATAGCCGTGCAGCTGCTTGACCTAATGAGCCCGAATTTTTATCGGCAGCTGATGCTCGGCGCCGCCATCAACCCTAACGTACCTCTGCGCGACCACGACTGGGACCACCCCCGCTGGGAACTAAGCAGCTCCCCTCCACCACGGTGGCCATAACATTTACAGTGACGACGCCATGAAGTACCGACCGGTATGAGGAATCACTACGTGCTGGGCCCCAAAGCGCAGCTGTAGAATTATCTGGGTAGGATCACTAACGCTCCTAGATGCCGCACCGGTATCTGCGGGATGTCGTTGCCAGATGCTTGATGTGGTGTGATCTGCCCCAGGAGTATCTGTTTGTTAACAATAAGCTCGATGCCTCCCTGAACATCCGACGATGCCTCGTCTCACCTGTCAAGCCCGCTGGGCTGTGCCGCGTTGCGGGGCAGTGTGGGTGACAGACGGTGCTCGACAGTCGCTGACCCATTGACCAGCGAAATGAATGCGAGTTGCCTCTTTGAGCGGCCTAGTTATCCAACAAAGGTTTCATGATCGGGATTGCTGTACGGGAGGCTCACTGATAAATGGACAACCTCGATATCCATTGAAAGACTTTCTCACGTGGGGGCGACGTCGGAGCCCACGGCGCTCGAGATCCGGGCATCGCGACGCGACGGTGACGTGTGGACACGTGCTGAGCAAGCGTTGCCTCGTTTATCCGGTCGCCGGTCACTTGCCTTCAGCACTTTTTTTTTTTTTTTTTTTTTTGGCATTCGTTCCTTTCCCGCCGTGCCGTCGGTCTCTGAGGGTGAATGGGGATGGGCCACGGCACGATGGGCAGCCGTGTCCTCGGCAGCACCCTGTGCCTCCAGATGCCTCCTGATTTCCACGCCAATAGCGTCAGCGTGCCGAGTCGGAGCGTGAAACCGAGCCGCGGACACCCCCCCTTTCTTGCTGCGTACTGGCGCGTATCGCAGGCACGCAGGGGTCGGGCGGAAGGAACTGTCCCACGGACGACAGCTGGGCCTGGACAGGTGGAAGTGCGCATCGACGCCCATCGGCGCGCGTTGCCTTTCGAGCCCACCAGGTCCCCGAGACCTGACGATAGCTGTTAGGCAGCGCACGCACTGGCGCGGGTGATGCGGAGGGCTTATTCTGAATCCGCTGCCGGACTTGCGCGTCCACGCCCCGCTTTAAATGACCCCCGCGAACCTGGAGCGGGTGCCTCGTCGTCTCCTTGCCGCGTCCCGGTCACTGTGCATTCAGTGACTGAGTGACGATGCCGTGCTGGCCTTTCTCCATTCCTTTACTGTGCTAAGCTGCGCCTGACTCCACTTCACCCCTCCGCGCTTGTCCCGTTGCTCATCGCTCGTCACGTTTCGGCCAACGCTCTGGCCTTTTTTTTTTTCTCCGTTTCCTTTCCTTTTCACGCCCGGCTTATCGCGCTTCGTGAGTGAGAAGTGGCGTATGCAACAGGTCAGGCGTCTGTCCAGGTCGGTTCTGGAGGGGTCGAGTCGGCTGGCACCGGGGGACGAGAGAGCGGAGTGCTTGCCGTCGCGGCGCAGCGAGGGGGTCTCTGATCCGCTCCACCGGAGGGGCGGAGCGAGGCCTGTGGGCCTGCGAGCGCGGCCACCAGTCGTTACCCGCCGTCCGCCACCGCCCATCGCACGTTTCTCGAGCATAGCGGAGTGGGGATCGCCCATACCCCGCCTAACCACGGTCGTGGTTGGCCACCCGGAGACCGGGAGTCCAGCGGACTGGGGCCGGATTCATGCTGGCCTCCTCCTCGCGCTGGATAACCTCGGCCGGCTACGACCCCTGGCGGACGCGTGGGTGGCATTCGATGAGCTCATCACTGGGAAGGGTGCCGCCTGTCTGTGCTCGTGGTTCTCGGTTTGCAATGCTGCAGCTTTGTGTGCCGCTGCTGACTCACTGATTTGGTGCCGCTTTCTGCCCTTGCCTCCGTTGCGCTTTCTAGTCGCCCCGCTGCGTCTCCACCATGGGTCGCCAACCCCCCGCTCACGCTGCTGCTGCCCGCTCGAAGCTGACGCCGCCGTCGTCTGCCGGTCCGCTCGGTATCGGCATTACGGTCCCCGCGCGCGGCCTGACACCTCTGGACGCCGCCGCCGTCTTCAAAGTGGTTTTGGCCAGCCAGAACGCGGCCACCCCCTGCACGCTGTCCTGCACGCCTGCTGCGGCGCCGGACGCTGACGCCAGCACCAACGCGGACGACGCGGTCGCGTCATCGCCCGTGACGGCGTCCGGCCCCATTGCCATCGCGCTTGTGAACGGCGCGACCGTCTGGGACGCCAACACTGCTGTCCAGCTGCTTGTCGGCCCCGTGTCCACGGCCGAAACGACGGACTGGTCGGCTGCTTCTCTCGTCGAGTGGGAGGCTACGGCGCTTCGCCGCGCCCTGACGACGCTTCACCGAGCCGACGCCGACGCGACCGCGTCTGAATCGGAGCCGACGCTTGCCGCGGCGTTTTGGGAACGCGCTGCCGCGTGGACGGCGGCCCATCCTGCGGACCCGCGCCAGCCGCTGGACGCCGCGACCATCATTATGTTTGGTGCGCTCGCGCCGACGCTGGTCGCGGGTCTCATGCCCGCCGGGCGGAGCTCTGCCCGCGCCGCCCAGGCCGTGCCCACCCCGCTCCGCGCGTGGTGCGCTGCGGTGCAGCAGCACCCGCAGGTCACGCCGGCCTTGACGCAGTACGCCGCCCTGAGCACCACGACCGCCGGCACCGCCACCGCCACCGCCGCCGCTGCGGCCAAGCCCCGCCGTGAGCTGCCGCCGTACGAGTTCAAGACGCCGTTCGCCACGAGCGGTGAGGTCTTGCCGGACCCGAACTCGGACCGCAACGTCCTCATCACGTCGGCGCTGCCCTATGTGAACAACGTGCCGCACCTCGGCAACATCATCGGCTCGACGCTGTCGGCGGATGCATATGCGCGCTTCTCGCGCCTGCGCAACCGCCCGACGCTGTACGTGTGCGGCACGGACGAGTACGGCACGGCGACCGAAACGAAGGCGTTGCAGGATGGCACGACGTGCCAGGCGCTGTGCGACAAGTACCACCGTCTGCACGCCGGCGTCTACCAGTGGTTCAACATCAGCTTCGATACGTTCGGCCGCACGACGACGCCGCACCAGACGGCGATCGTGCAGGACATCTTCAAGAAGCTGGATGCCCGTGGACACATCCAGGCGAAGGACATGACGCAGCTGTACTGCGAGACCCACAAGAGCTTCCTGGCGGACCGCTTTGTGGGCGGCACGTGCCCGCATTGCAAGAGCAACGATGCGAAGGGCGACCAGTGCGACGGATGCGGCAAGTTGCTGAATGCTGTAGAACTGATCGACCCGAAGTGCAGTGTGTGCACCGGCAAGAACAGCCAGCTGCCGCCGGGCACGGTGGTCCCGCCGCCGATCTTGCGTGACTCGGCCCACCTGTTCCTGAACCTGACCCAAGCCGAGGAGGAGGTGACGAAGTGGATTCGCCACTCGAGCGTAAAGGGCGGATGGAGCACGAACAGCATCCAGATCACGGAGAACTGGCTGAAGGAAGGCCTGAAGCCCCGCTGCATTACGCGCGACTTGTCGTGGGGCGTGCCCGTGCCCGAGGACACGCGCCCGGGCTTCGAGAAAAAGGTGTTCTATGTCTGGTTCGACGCGCCGATCGGATATCCCTCGATCACAGCGGGCTACACGGCTCAGTGGGAGAAGTGGTGGAAGGACCCCGAGCACGTGCAGCTGTACCAATTCATGGGCAAGGACAACGTGCCTTTCCACACGGTCTTGTTCCCGAGCAGCCTGCTGGGCACCGGCGAGAACTGGACCATGCTGCACCACCTCAGCACCACCGACTATCTACAGTTCGAAGGATCGAAGTTCTCCAAATCGCGCGGCGTCGGCGTGTTTGGCGACACCGTCATGACCAGCGGTGTCCCGCCGGACGTCTGGCGCTACTTCCTGCTCTCCAACCGCCCGGAGACCGGCGACTCTAACTTCACCTGGGCCGCCTTTGCTCTCGCGAACAACTCCGAGCTGCTCGCCAACCTCGGCAACTTTGTCAACCGCGTGATGCGTTTCGTCGACGCCAAGTACGATGGCGTCGTGCCTCCCTGCACGCCCGCCGAGCCCGAGCACCAGCTTGCTGCCCAGGTCGACGACCTCGTCCGCCAGTACGTGAACGACCTGGAGCACGTCAAGATCCGTTCAGGCATCGAAACCGCAATGCGCGTCTCGGCCGCGGGCAACGCCTACCTCCAGCACGTCGGCATGGACGGCAAGCTGCTGGCCAACCACCGCGAGCGTTGCGACACCGTCGTCGCCACTGCCCTCAACCTGGCCCACCTGATTGCCTCGCTCGTCTTCCCGTACCTCCCGAACACCGCTGAGGCCATCTGCCGCCAGCTCAACGTGCCGCTGAGCAACGCGCTTGCCACGTGGCCCCAGACGCCCCGCGACACCGCCGAGCCGCCCCACCCCTTCCCGCAGGCCCTCGCCGCCGGTCACGTGCTGCGCGAACCCGAGTATCTCTTTACCCGCATCGACACCGAGAAGCTCGACTACCTCATGAAGACGTTCGGTAGCGCGTCAGACGCGCAGGCGCTGATCGCCTCCGACGCCAAGGCCTCCAAGAAGCGGCCCACTAGCGCTGCCGCCGCCGCAAAAGGCGGCAAGGCCGCTGCCGCGGAGCAGGG